TTTATAGCAATGGTATGAGTCAACTTATTGTTTGTTATGATCATGAATGAATAGCCCATAGTTATTGTGACTAGGCCCATGCTTGAATCGACACCACAATGGCTATCACGGTTGTGACTCATCTCCACAACCACTTCCACAATGAAAGAAAGACTGAGAGGTAAGAATAAGGGCGTAGACTCATGAGAGAAGCACTTGTTGACATGTTTTTTTTTTCAACCACGACCTCTGACTTTCCAACAAGGTGTGTAGAAGTAAAATTAGAGCTTGTGACTAGTGTTGTTATGGATTTGAGATCTAAGTACAAACGCTAAACTTAATTGGCTTCCATCGTCGTGGTTTCTAGGTTGGTGAAGGGAAGAGAATGTGAAAAGGGGTATGGGTAGTAGCGGGGATGGAGATGACATAGTAGAGAAAAAAAGTTGTGTTGAGTTTTAGTTAAAGGGTAAAATAAGAAAATGAAAAAAAATAGTTAAAAAAGGTAAATATGTCTTTTTACCTATACTTAGGTGTTGTTTGTTACTTAAAAAATAAAAAATTAAAAATAAAAATAAAACTTTTTCAGACCATTTTTGCGCAGCACACACGCAACACTTACCCACTCGCAACAATTTGTTTTTTTTTGGAAGGCTTCAGACTACAAAACATCTGCACGTGTTTTGCGCGGCGCAACACTTGATTTGCCTCTTCAACTTTTATTTTTTCCAAGTGATTTTTTTAGAGATTTGGTATAACTTATTATTATTTTTTTAACTTTGATTTTTTTTAAACGTTGACTTTAAAAAAATTGATTTAAGGATTTGATACAATTTCTTTTTATAGTTTCCACAATTTTTATAACTTGATTTTAGAAAAAAAAAAAAAAAAAAAAAAAAAAAAAAAAAAACCTATGATTTTTTAATTTTTTTTGTCGTTTATGTTAATAATACTTTCAATTTCGGTTGCATCTTTTTTAACATGTGTAATTCTTTACGGACTTTGTAGACATTATTTGCAATATTTTCTTAACTTTTTTTTTATGTTTTTTTTTTTAATTAGTTTTTTTTTCTAGAATAAAACTGATAGTTTCTTTTATATATATATATATATATATATATATATATATATATATATATATATATATATATATATATATATATATATTTTAAAATTTTGTATTTTTGTTTTTTACATATTCTTTTAGTATTCTTTCAAGGTTCTAAGATTATTAAAATTTCGATGTTGATAACTATTTTCAATTTATAAAATTAATTTATTTAAATTTCAGTTTACTATAATATTCTGCAGATGTTAAAAAACAAATATGCTATTGTTTGGTGATTTTGAGCTCTTATGGAGCTTTTGTGGAAGGTTTTGTGCATCTAGAAGAAGAAGAAGCTTTAAGATTTATTCTTTGGATGATGGCTTTCAGATCCAGCTTAAGCACCCTATTTTGATGGCTTGTGAGTATAAAGTTCAAACCTTGTCATTTCATTTCTTAAATCTACTTCTTGGCATGTTTTTAGTCATTTTAGTCCTTTTTGGTTGGTGATTAGGAGTTAAGGTCATTTTTGGAGCTTAGCCTTATAGATTTAGACATATTAAGGGTTCCTTGGGCATAAAGGTGCAAACTTTATGGCGGTCTTGGTCTCATGCATGTATTAAGTCATTCATTAAGCTTTTTAGCTCTAGAGCCCATTTAGCCATGCATGCACATAAAATTGGCAACTTTATGTGATTAACCACATTGGGGAAGTCATATATGAGTTGGATCGAAGTCTTATTATATTAAGAGCTGAATTAGGAAAGTTGGCCAAACAGACGAGTACGCGAGGCATACAAGCATGTACGCAGTGCATACAAGCCTTTTAAGTTGTACGCTGTGCGTATAGGTTGAGTACGCCCAACATACTTAGCACGTTGGATTTCTTTTGGGCTTCGGTTTTTGACTTGAGTGGGCTTGGTTATCTTGGGCCATTTTGGATCATCATAATTTATGGGTTGGGCTATTGAGATTTTGTTGGACTTTTTAGGAAAAGGCCCATGAAAGGGATTAGGCCCAATTTGGAAAATTAGGCCATATTTGGGCCTTAGATGCTTATTTTGGATTTTGGTCTTTTGTAGATTTGGATTGGGCCTTGGCCTTAGGCCAAGTTAGAGGAAGGGTAAAAATGTCTTTTACCTTAATTTGGACTCTTACTGTGAGTCAGGATCTAGTCATTAATGAGTTGTCATTGTGGTATTTGATAGCGCGTGGATTTTAGCGGATTTGTAGTCAAAGATTTATCTGTGGGTTTCAGTTGTCTGAGGTGAGTCTCCTCACTGTACTATGGGTCGAAGGCACAAATTCCGACCCATTAGCTTATGTATTATGTAAAGACCAGGGGGTGGCCCTTGGCATTTTTATGGAAGACCCGGAGGTGGCTCTTGGAAAATTAGTATGCAAGACCAGGGTTCAGACCCTGACAGTTAAGTAGATAGTTAGTTTTGGATTGTATGCTAGTTGTCTTTGTGATGCTTGCATGGAAGACCAGGAGGTGGCTCCTGGCCCTTGTCTGTAAGACCCAAGGTTTTGGCCCCCGACCTGGCAAGGAAAGACCATGATACGGCTCGTGGCATAATGGCAAGACTATGGATGGCACATAACACCTCCTATTGCATGTTTGATATGTTTGATATGTATGATATGTATTACTCGTATGTTATGTATAATATGTGGTATTTTGAGGAACTCACTGAGCTTTGTGCTTACAGTTGTTGTTTATGGTTTCAGGTACTTCCGGTTAGTAATGGGAAGCTTCCGGCATGATTGCAACACATACACCCGTATTTTCAGCATCCGTGAGATTTTGGGATTTTACTATGATAACTGTTTTTATTATAAAATACCTTTAAGTGATTAAGTAAATGATAAATGGGTGGTTTGGTTTTACCTTCATATTTTGAGGTTTTACAGTTAAAAAACTAAAAACTTGCGATTAAATAAAACCAAAAAACTAATGATATCATTGTTATACTTATTCTTATTCTGAAGATAATATATTTTATGAATCATCTAACCCAATCATAAACATTTATCTAATATATAATATATGCATATATGGTGTATGCCATTAGACTCAAAATGAGGTGTTAGATAACTTTTTACCCAAATGACATTTTGTAATTGTTTATTTTTACATCAAACCAAACACAAATGTGAAATGTAATTAAAAAGAAAATTAATTAAATTAAAAAGAAAAGAAAAAACCAAGAAAGCGGCTATTTACCAAACGCCCCATCAAATTGAAGAAATTGCCAACTGTTGGCGTGCCAATTGCATCCATCCGATAAATCTCAAGGCTTACCTGGTGACTTGGATGGGTTTCCATACATCCCCACAACCCAATCACAATCATCCACGTATAACCGGGGCCCACATCACCGATACACTATGTCATCTATCTCACATTAAAATAACCTGCATGTCATTTTATCACTTTCTTTAATCTTTAATAATACCCTCCTCGAGTCGACTCAATTTATTTTCTTTTCCATCCAATCAGATATGCAACTACTCCAAAGAGGCATTTCCCCATTCTTCACTCCCATTTCTTGATTTTTTTTTTCTTCACGCCAACAAACCCTTAAAAAAGGCAAGTTTTTTTCATCTGGGTTTTGTAAAGATTCCGTCTATGCATGTTTTGAATGTCTAGATTCAGTCGGGTTCTTTGATTTCTTCAGTAATTTGTCAATGTTTGTTCTTCAAGAAACCCTAACTTTATGTGTTTCTTTTTCCCTTTGATTTCTCCCTCGCAGGTGGCTTGTTTTGAAAAGGGTGTTGCGTATGAGCTGAGGTGAGGAACATGGCAAGTATCTAACTCTGATCTTTGCGCAGTTTCTTTGTAATTTCAAGTTAATTTTAGTTGGGAATCATCGCTCTTTGTGGTTAGTTGTTGTTATGGTTTAATTTAGTTTTTTATATGATAGAAAGACAATTCTATCTGTTTTTTTATTGCATTTATGCTTTAAAGCGAATAGTGATTACTGATTAGATACAAATTTCTAAACTGTTTCGATCTTTGGCTACTTGGTTTTATCAATTTCGGGGATATTAATCAATAAAGAATTAAAGATGCTCCTACTTTGATTCCGCAAATTGTGATAAATCAACCTTCAACCATTTATTTGTGCTTCATAAACTATCGCAACATCGTACTCTCAAATCTCAATCTTGTACTTAGAAAAATCCACCCAATTACGTTGCTATTTTTGGAATTTAACTCTTTTATCGTCACAATGTGCAGACAATGATCATAACAAAACAATACCGATGCATACACTCTGCAAGCTGTATATGCACAAAAGGCCATTTAAGTGAAGACGTAATCTTCCTACTTCTCCAACATCTAAATTGGAACCCTAAAATAATCGCTACTCTCTCATGCGTATGCAAATGGTTTGACGATCTTGTGAAAAGAGTACTCTGGAAAGAATTTTGCAGAACGCGGGCCCCCAAAATGATGCACGATCTTCAATCAAGTGGGTCCCACAGCGTAGATGGCAATTGGAGTGCACTCGGGAAGCTTCTAATCTATTGTTCTGGATGCAAAAAAGACGGATTATTCAACAAAATCCAAATCCCGGGACATTTTGCACATCGTACTAGGTTTTCAAGAACTTCTGGAAAAAGTTTTTTGTTGCCAAATTGTAGGACGGATGTTTTGTATGTTTCCGACCCATGTGAGCATTTGGATCAAGGAGAAGAAGGGGATGTGGGGTTTTTCCGAGGGGTATTTAAGTCATTTGCCACTTCGAAAGTAAGGAAGATGCTAATTAGAAGAGGGGCGAAGTTTCATGAGAGTGAATTTTGTCCTTATTGTAAAGCGAAATTATGGAGTATGTTGCAAGCTAAAATGATTCCTCAAAGTGCAAGTTGTAGATTGGGGGCGTATGAAGATTGTATTGAGTATTTTGTGTGTTTGAATGGACATGTTCTTGGTGTTTGTACGCTTTTGCCCTTGTCGGATTCTGAAGAGGTGTCGGAATTGGATTGATGGAGAAGGGCAGAATCGTCCGGTTACCAGGTAAATTGTCACTATAAAATTTGTTGTTTTGAAAGTTTAGTATAAGCATTAGTTAATCTTATAGTATCTTGTTTTTACTATAAAAATCGTTTAAGGGGTGTTTGGAATTTGGATGTGCGTTTTGAAGTTTTCAAAGTGATTATTGAAGACTTCAAGAATCAGAATAAGGTAATTAGTTAAGTAGTTTAATATTCATCTCGATAAATCTTTTTTTTTTTTTTTTTTTTTTTTTTTTTTTTAAATCTCCAAATTTGATTATTTCGACTCTAATTGGGTTTTTGCCAAATTTAGATCTATTTGTTTAATTGTTTGAGCGAAAGTCATGGTAGCATTATATGTTTGTTTTGGGTTCTCAAATTACTACTCTCTTGAACGATTAAGATATAGAAACACCAAAATCATAACTCATGTATTGTTTCTTCATATGGTAAATTTGTAAAAAGTTAGTATTTAAGGGATTTAATTTCAAAGGGATATGACTTAATTTTTGTTTTTGATTTTCATGGGCAGGTTTACAAGTGTAAGATGGGGGAGATTGGTTGGAAATGCTCAAATTGGCTGCCTTTTTGACTTGTTTTTTCGGTCCAAGCTGCAATCTTTTATTGTGATATATTTTTATTAGACGCATACTGTTTCTTGAACTATTGTATTGATGGTAGATGGATTCAAAAAGATGTTTAATGTCGTTATGTACATGCGGTGTTTTTTTTATGTGTACTTATTTGGAAGAAAAATGCAAGATGGATTTAACATTGTATTTTATTAGGGGTGGATTTAAAACAGAAATCAAATAATATGTTGACCAAACCAAGGTTGTCAAGATTGAGATCTTGATCGTAGATCGTAAGATCCTATGATCCTACCTATGAAAATCTTGCCAAATTGCAATAATGATTGTTTTGTATGTAAGATTGCAAATAGGATCAGGATCCGATCATACAAATTCATGAAATTTGCCAAAATTTAATTCGGGTTTTTGTTATTTATGCTCTTTTACTGTTGGTTGACCCGGTTTGCTTACCCAAAGGTTAATTGAAAATAGCCCGTTCTTATAGTGTTTTGTGAACCAACCAACAATCATAGAATTAATTCCTTTTCTCCATTTACGTTTTACCTTCATCAATGTAAAAGTTTGAGATTTAACTTTGGATTGTTAATAACTACTACATGGTGAGCTATTTAACTGTGAAAAAAAAAAAAAAAAAAAAAATCGTATACAATCAATTACCTTTTTATGTCATTTTTGTGGGATCCTAATCCTAAACTTGAAAACGATCATACGTAGGATCCTGATCTTAAGAGCCTTAAACCAAAACCACTGATCTTGACAACCTTAGACCAAACCACTGAACTCAATTTATGTTGTTCATTAAATTCAATTTGAATGTTGTAATTGGTAGGGGTCATGACTTTTATAATTTTGCTTGTAGACATTTAGTTATTATAGACTTTTTTATCAAACGGTCCTAATCATGGTTTTGTGTTTTGCCCAAATATGGTTTTGTTTTTAAGTTTGGGTTAGCAGAATAGATGAATTGGTTTTGACATTTGACTCTATATGGAACATTATTTTTGATAGGGGTCATGACTTCTATAACTTGATCAAACATTTTTAGCTTTATTAGACTCTACTAGATGAGAGTGGTTTATATAACATATAAAATAGGCCCGTCCAAAAGGTTAGACATAAGTCACATAAGTTTGACCTTTTGGGGTAGATCATCTTTATTGGCATTTCGAAAAAGATGTTTGAATAAAGAAATTTGTATGGATATAAGTTTTCTTCGCATTGCATGATAAACAGAAAATTACTATGTGAAATGTTTAATGTCATAAATAGATAACAAACTATTTTTTTTTTTTTTTTTTATATATGAGAAACCATTATTGTAAAAAAGGTTATAAATGAATAACAAATTGTTTTTGTTCATAAAATACTATTTGAATAGAGGTACAAGATTCATTAATTTCATTGTTAACCTTTTGATAGGAATTTTTTTAGATTAAAGATATTTTGTGAAAAAACAAATAGTTTTTTACATACGACATTAATCATTTGTGAAATGTCATGATTACTTTTGCATTTTTTTTAAAGCGGTCATACAACATTAAAAGTTGTTTTCTTTGTTCGAATTATTTTAAAAATCATATCAATTTTTATATATATCATACCATATTTGTTGATTTGATATCGATTAATAATATATTTGAGATGATAATGGTTGTCAAGTTTGTGATCTTATCCAAGATCATTCTATGTATTACAAGATCATGATCGTAATCGGATCGGGATTGAAATCCTATTATAATGAACTCATATTCAAATTTGCCCGTAAGATCTTGGGTGTGCATTATACATCATAACTTGATGTTGATATGGAATCAACTTTAACTTTTTAGTATGAACCATAACTTTTGTTATTGCAAACCATAAAAATTAGGAAGAAAACATCTTGATTAAGAAAAATAAAAATAAAAATTAAAAAAATAAGAAAATAACAAGATCACGTACAACTAAATGATTAAGATCACAAAGGGGATATCATGAATATGACTTGTCTAATTCGAGATGAATTGATGAAGTGATAATGTTTTATGAGACTTCTTGCAACCTGTGAGAATTGATTTCAAGTTGACTAGATAAATTTCTGAGACTCGACTATATGATAAAACTAAAGAGGTGGATCAGACCGTGTTACGATCTTAAGATTCTAATCAGGAATCCTAAAATCTCACCATAGATCTTTCTTTAGATAGATACTAATAAGATTGTGATTGTTTTTTTGCTTATAAAGTTGTTTATTTGATTCTCGATGAAGCATAAGAGGGACTAAAAATGAGTTGTTTATTTATGTTTTTGGATCGCAAGCAGCATGGAAGCACAAAAAATCTAAACAAAAATAAAAATATATTTTTGTATATAGGGCATGTATGGCAAAAGTAGCTGTTAGCTGGAAGCGAGTAGCGGTTAGCTGGTAGCGGGTAGCTGGTAGCGTGTAGCTGGTAGCTGGTAGCGGGAAGCTGTAGCTTTTATTTGTTTTATGAATGTTTGGCAAAAGTAGCTGGAAGCTTTTGAAATATATAAAATTACATAAAAGGACAATTTATTAAAAATAAAAAATATATATAAATATATTTTTAAGGGTAATTATGGAAATTGATTTCAAAAGCTCCGGAGCGTTTTGTTAAAAGCTACATGAAGTAGCTTTTAGAATCGGAGCGTTTTGTTAAAACTAAAAGCTAAACGCTTGTACTGCCAAACGAAGCTTTTTGTTTAAACTAGAGCGTTTTGTCAAAAGCTAAAAGCTAGTAGCTCCCAAACGCTTCTAAAAGCTCCGTGCCAAACACGCCCATATTCTCAAACGTATATTCTAAAACCGCAAACCACACTAAAACCGTTGCACCTGACTACACCGCATAACACGATTTAGAACCTTCGCAGTGCAGTTGCGGTTTATGAAAATCTCAAACCACACATGTGGCGCGGTTTGCGACTTTGAGTAGGGAGAAATCGATGTCGGCTTCTGGCGAGAAAGCGGAGTAAATAGAAGTTTTCTGAATGTTGGTGGCAGCGGTTTCCAGCGAGAGAGCAAAGTCAAAATAAAGGTGTGAAGAAAAATCTAAAAATACATAGTATATGGCAGTGATAGCGTTTTCTGGTGCTTCCATGCGATCCAGTGGTTCACGACCGCGATTTGGTGGCTTCGGTAGTCGCGATTTGGTGGCTTCGGTAGTGGGTAGCTGAGTTCAAAGGGTGTAGGTTATATTTCTTTCATCTGATGATATGAGATAGTACGGGTTAAGGGGAGAGATGAGAGAGTGAGATGGTTAGGATGGTGTGGTAAGGTTGAGAGTGAGACTTATGTATCTATTGATTATTTATTTTATTTTGTAATATTAATGAACAATAAAAGAAATATGAAAAAGAAAATAAAAAGGACAACATAGTTTTTTTTTTTTTTTATGAACTAAAAACACAACAAAATGATATGCTAGGCGGTTCGAATACAAAAAGATAATTAGGGACCAAAAATGAAATATTTGAAAACCACAAGTACCATTTAAGTAACTTGTTCAAAGCCTTATTCAAACTCAGCTCTATACGACTCCTCCTTCGCTTCTCACATTGTCAGCTCCTCAAGCGATTCCTCCCCTGCTCGCTCCCGTATGCCATCGCCTCCCCTGTGAAGCGAACGGTCAGAGACCTTCGCACCCCACAGCTACAGGTTCCATTTTTCTTCATTTTTTCCTGCTTTAGTTCTTCTTTCTTTTTTCCTGCTTTCGTTCCCCCCTCCTTTTTTTTTTACTGCTTTCTGTTGAAATCGAAAATATTGATTTCAAGGTTACCAATGTTGTTAGTGATGATGTTTTGTTCGTTGTGTTTCTTGTTCATGTTTATAATTGTTTGGTGTTTGGGTTCATCGGTTGATGTTAATAACCATATTCATCTAGCTTTGCTGATTATGAAGTGTCTTGATTTGTTTAATCTTATGGGTTGGATTTCTGAGGAATCAAAGTTTAGATGATGAAAAAACCGCTAAAATTTAATAGAAATTTTTGAAATCAGATTGCTTAGAATGAACACAAGATTAGAAATCAGATTGCACACAAGCTGTTTGATCAAATGCATGAGAGGGGTTACTTTCTTTATATGCATGTTTTCACTGATCAATTACATGTTTTAACTTTTAACTTATGCATTTTGATGTTGGTAACTTTGGAATGAACAATAGATGCATGTTTTCTGTTAGTTAAAAACAATAATTATTAGTTAAAAAAAAATTGTTAATTAGACAAATAAGTCAAAATGTAAAAGGAGGTCCTTTTGGCCATTTTACACATATATGCATATGATGAATCATCT